GAATGGATGGATGGATAGTTAAGGGAACTGTTGAAGGGGACGGATGATGAATAGTTGGATGGATAGATAGATGGAAGGAAAGAGGAGGGAGGGAAAGAGGAAGAAAGAATTAGAAAATGTACAATTAACATTTCTGTTACTGTCATTATTATAGTTTTTTCTTATAATTTATATCATTAGCAATATAATCATTATCATTATTACCATTCTTGTTATTATCTTTCGTTCTATTATCACCCTCGTTATTGTCACTGTTGTCTTATTCCTAGCGTCTTCAGTATGATCACTATCATTATTGTTATTACTGTTATTGTTATTATTAGTGTTAGTAATTAAAGTAATGATAATAATGATAAATATGAAAATAATAATGATAATGATAAAAAAATAACAACAACAAAAATGATAACAATAATGATAATGATAATGATATGAATAATGATAACAATAATGATAATGATACTGATACTGATGATAATAATAATAATAATGATAATAATAATAATAATAATAATGATAATAATAATAATGATGATGATAATATTAATATTGATAATAATAATAATAATAATAATAATGATAATAATAATAATAATAATAATGATAATAATAATAATAATAATAATAATAATAATTGATAATAATAATAATGATACTACTGCTACTGCTAATAATAATATTGATAACAAGGATAATAATAAAGTATTTTTTATCATCATGATCATCATTATCAGTATTTCTAATTTCAATGATTATCATCACTGAAATTATTATTAGCATCATTAACAATTATTGTTACTGTTATTGTTATTATTATGACCATTATTATTATTATGATAATAATAATAAAAATTATTATTATTACTATTTTCATTACAATGATTATTATTATTGTTGCTATAAATGTTATTATTATCATCACCATCATAATAATCATTATAATCATTATAGATATGACCATTCTTTTTTTTTCTTCTTCTTCTTATTATTATTATTATTATCATTATTATCATTATTATTAGTATTGTCACTATCATCATTATCATATTCTTATTAATATCACTATTAATGATATTGTAATTATCATTAATATTTTATTGCCATTGGTATTAGCATTGCATTTGTTACTATTATCATCATTACTATCATAATCTATTATTATTACTATCATTATCATTATCATTTCTAGTGTTTACAACTATTGTTTTTATTACTATTATTGTTGTTGTTATTATCTTTATTATTGTTTTTATCACTATCATTACCATTATCATTACTGTTTTTATTAGCAGTATCATTCTTAGAATGACCATTATTGTCATTATTAGTGTTATTATTATCATTAGCATTATTATTTATTAATTTATATTGGTATAATAATAATGACAATAATAATAATAATAATAATGATAATAAGGATAGTAATGATAGCAGTAATGATAATAATAATGATATCTATAACGATAATAATAATGGTGATAATAATAACTATAATTTTGATACTAATAATGATGATGATGGTGACAATAATAATGATAATTAAGATATAATGATAATTGTTAAAGTAATGATAATAATGATAATAATGATAATAATAGTAATGGTAATAATCATCACTGTTATTATACCAATAAGAGATAGATAATAATGATATTGATTAAGGATGGTGATAATAACGATTATTATTAATATCAATAGCATCATTATTATTTCTTATCATTATTTTTATTGCCATTATTATCATAATTGTGATTATCATTATTATCATGATTGTGATTATCATTATTTTCCTCACTGATAATAACAATGATATTTTTTATTGTTGTTGTTTTCAGCATCAATACCATCATCATTAGCATCGTTGTCATCCTTTGCGCGAAAGGGGGTCATTTTTAAATAGGAAAAATAACAAGAATAATATCACCGGAAACAAAGAAAATTATATTCAAATCCTTATCCACTTTGGAGATAATATTATCATTATATTTATTACTCTTTATTACTGGCAGGCTCGAAGCCGGAAGTGGTGGTAATAGAAAAGAAACACAAAGCACACAAGCCTCGGGAAACACCTAAAAACTAAATGATAAAGCAAAATGACACGAATTACAACCACTCCATGATTTCCCGGCAGCCCCTGGCAACCACTCACGAATATTAACCTCTCCATCTGACGCAGAAGTTGCCAAATGTGTCTGCTCAGCATCTGGATCCACAGGATGTGTGTGTTTGTCCCGGTTTAGAGAGGGGGTGATCCCATCCCATCCGACACATATTGCTGATTTGTGTCGGACTTTTGTTGTATTTGCCTGGTTCTTTTTCGTTTTGTTTCTTCGCCAGTCTGTCGGATATGATCCTTTGCTCCCGTTCTCTCTCTCTTTCTCCGTTGGTATATCTGATTCTCTTTCCTATTGTATGTCTTCTCCCACTCTCACCCACATCCTCTTCCTCTCTCTACACTCTTTTGCGCATTTCTCCTCCCTCCCTACCTCTAAACCCC